GGGCGGGACCGCCCGCCCCGCGGCGCTGGCAGTTGCGCAACTCCGGAGAAACCGATCAACTCCTCGCGGCACCTCCTTCCCTCCGGAGTTCCGGGGTACCAGCCCCCGAACACCGAGGGCTTACCCACCCGCGTCCCGCTGCCCGCCCGTCGCCGGGTGGAGGCTGGCCACCGTGTGGTGACATCCACCGCATCTTGCTGCGCTGCTGCTGCCGCTCCCGCAAAAGGGGTCCGGGAGAAGTGTGCCCTGATGTTCCCCGGGCCACGCGGCACGGATGGGACAGCCACCTGGATGATGTCCACCTGAAAACCAAGAGTGTGTACGGGTCTGGGTGGGACTGAGCCCTAGCCACGCTGGTCGCCCCCTTGTGACGCCTACAGTTCTGCTTTCCGCCACAGCGGACTTGGAGTATGTTTCCTAGAAATTAGATTTCCCTTTGCCCTCTCACACTGATCAGGGTTAGCGCAGGCTTGGAGCCTTGACCTAAGATGAGTACTGGTGACTTAATACATTTTAAACTCTGGAAAAGGGATTTGTGTTCTGGGGGCACTTGCCAGCGTGGTAGTTTTGAGATATAATTTAGGGACTCTGAGCCCAAGGTTTGTAGCGGAGGTCTTTGGGTCATTCGTGACCGAACTTCGGCCGCATAACCATTTCTTGGGTGCCACACTCTGCTAGGGGACAAGATACAAAGATTAAATAATTCTATGAGACTTAGAGAACTGAAATTCAAAGTAAAATAAAATCGTATGGAATATTAGAAGATTTTAAAAAATAGACATATGCACGGAGCTGGGAGTCAGGCCAATGCTGGAATGGAGAACCAGGGAAGAGTCCCTGAAGATATCAGAATGTTCTAAAGTAAATAATTGTTCACCAGGCAAAGAAAGATGCGATGAGCATTCCAAGCCAAGGACACAGGAGAAAATGCATAGACTGAAACTGCTTATTTTTCTGGAATTTAAAAAAAAACACCCAAATAAGTGTTAAGACAGGGAATGCAGAGGTGGACAAAGAGACCATATAACCAGAGCCCTGCTAAGAATCTTCATTTTAAAAATGTGTTTTGGTTTTGGGTTTGTTTTGGTTTGGTTTGGTTTTTTGTTTTTGTTAGTTTGTTGATTGGTTGGTAGTGAGGAGAGTTTAGGTATATGGACAGACTCATATTTCAGGAGATCATTGTGGCTGTGGGGGGCGTGAGCACCATTTTGAATAATGCAGAAGCTTTAAATTAAGGCTTTTTAGAAATTGCAAAAGCTGTCATCCATGGTGATCCATGGTGTACTCTCTACCTAGGTGTCTGTGTTCTGAAACCCACCTTCTCTCTTGGTCTTCCTTCCCCTTCCTTTTTTCCTTTCCTACTCTAATACTGATTAATCTGATTTTAAAAAACCTTCCCCGAGGCAGAGGAATCATGACATCAAATGGAATTCACCTGACCATCTTAACTTTTTACTGCTTAGGTAATTCCCTTAAGCAATCCGATTGACTAATCACCCTTGACACATTACAAGAGTTGTCTGACTATAATAGCAATAAGTATTTTGTTTAAAGTATGTATGTATACATGTATATATTTAAAATGGGTATATAACAAATGATACATATGTACACATAGTGTCAAGCGGTCCTGAGAAACACAGTGCTGGTTCCCCTTCTAAATGCTTTCAATACCATAGACCTCATAATATCCTTTCCTTGGAATAGTGAAGTTCATATGGTATTGTGGATGGAGCGGGGAAAGGGGATGGGTTCTATGGAAAGTAACCTCACAAGGTAATCTGATCAATCTAACTGGGCAGGTCATGGTTGATAGTCATGTCCCAGGACTATAACTTCTTTAGTAAACGATTTATCTTTGCCTTAAGTAAGCCCCGCACATTGTTTCTAGGCATCTAGGTTAACAGACCTTTGAAATAAGCCTAACCACCCTCAAGAGAGCACAGAATCTTGTTACCTACCTTGTATTCCAGTCTCCACCTTGCTTTCCTCCACCTCCATGCAATCTTCCTTAACTTCGAATGCATAAAAGAAACTGCAAAACTTATTCTCTGGAGTATTTGAGATCTTGCATATGTTGTCGGTTTGATTCAAGTGAACTCTTATAAAAATTCTCTTATAGGTTTGGACATTTCTTGTTGACAGGTACAAAACGGTAAAGTCCTAGGAAACAATCTTACTGGTGAAGGAAACCAGAATATGTCACCCCAAAATATGCTTCTTTGACATAAGAATTAGCTTTGAGCTGCAGGCAATTAAGAAGCAGCAAAAGCAAGAAGAGCTCTCTCCACCCACCTCCTTTCTGTCCAAAGGCAGGATATAAATTTCCTTTACCTGAGTCTGCTCTAGACTCAGCCCAGAGAGGGCACCAGAGGAATCTGCAAACAAATTTTACTCCATTAGTTTTCCCGCATAAGTTTCACCTTTGTCATGTCAATTCTGTACAAATTCATTGTTTGCTTATTAAGATGCTATCTAAAGCCAAGCTCTAGCCATCCCTTTGAGTTACTCATCCTTGATTTTCTCCCATGTATATATGAAATATACATATTAGTAAACTTGTTTTCCTCTTCCTAATTTTTTTTTTATTGTTGTTAAAAGAGACCCAGCTGAGAACCTAAGTATTTTTCCTATCCTACACTGGGTACCTTTGAATATATACTAAAAGTTGTGCTTCTCCCCTTGAATTGATTCCTGACTTCCTTTCTGTCAAAGGAAGTCACACTGACTCAAAGTAAGGGTCTCAATGGACTGTCCTTTTGAGGATGAAGCCATTCTTCTTTAGTAGCCACCGTTTATTGAAAGGCAGTGTGCTTCCTGATCTAAATAATCCTGACACCAATGCTCAAGTGTCATTCTCTTTTTATGGGTGAGGTAAACAAGGCTTAAGGTAATGCAGCTAATAAATAGAGGTGCAGAACTTAAACCTAGGTCTATCCGACTCATGAGCTTATAACCGCAACGATTGTGAAGAACTGTTTCACTCTTCTAATTTCTCAAACTCCAGAATTCCAGATGGAAATGCCTCAAAATATATGTAGTTATCTTTTAGTTTTGAATTTTGGTGTATTTGTGTGTGCTTATGCATGGAGATATTTATGCAATTTGAAAACTTACACAATATTCTATAACAATATAAACAACTGAGGAACATCACTTAATGTTGATGGCTGCTGACTAATTAGGGTGGTTGCTGAAGTTTGGGGTGACTGCGGCAGTTTCTTAAAATAAGACAACAATGAAGTCTGCCGCATCTATTGCTTCTACTAATGATTTCTCTGTAGCATAGAATGCTGTTCGATAGCATTTTGTCCAACAAATCCTAGTCCAACAAAATCCTAGTCCAACAATCCTAGTCCAACAAAATTAGAAGCAGAAGCTGGGCACTACATTAGGTCCACTTCTTTTATTAGGAATAAATAATTATGAAAGCTACTTTTTAAAATTCACAATTCAGCAGCTTGGTCACTTGTCATTACTCAACTCTTTAATATCAGATAAAAGAGTATAAAAATTACATTCCCATCACCATGTCTTTAATTATTCTATATATTTTTATTCACAGGGAGTAAAATCCTCAATTCTCCATTCTAAAAGTTTCGGTAGCCCCTCTCCTTAAATGTAGATTGAACTTGGCGACTTGTTTCTGAAGACCAGAGTATGAAAAGTATAGACATTACCTTAACCAGATAATCAAAGTTATGTCACCAGTAATAAATTGATGTTCTATACATTGATATAAGATCTCATAAAATGATACAATGAGAAAGTACTTAACCTCTTTGGTACTTTTCCCAAAACCTATACTTGCAATTTAATCATAAGAAGACAAGATAAACCCCGATTGAGGGCCAGTCTATAAAATAGCTGATTAGAACCTTCAAAAGTGCCAAGATTATGAAAAACAAGAAAAAAATTGAGAAACTGTCACATACTAGAGGGAACAAAAGAGGCATGATGACTAAACGCATGGCATATCAAACTGGATCCTGGAAAAGAAAAAGGACCTTAGTAGAAAAACTAGTGAAATTTGTGTAAAGCCTATAGCTTAGTTAATGGTAATGAGACAATGTTAATTTCTTAGTTATGGCAAATGTACCATGGTTATGTATAAGATGTTAACATTCAGGGAAACTGAGTCTTATATCACCTGCATTTCTGTGCCATCTTGGCAACTTTTCTAAAAATCTAAAATTATTCCAAAATAACCACACTTTTTAAAGTTGCAGTAATTACCCACACACTCAATAAGATCTTATATTTAAAATCTCACACTTCATTAGTCACTTTATGACAACCATATTACTTTTTTTTAGTTTATTCCAGTTTTAGTTCATTTATTAAAGTATAGTTGCATACAATATTATATTCACTTCAGGCGTACAACACGCTGATTTGACATTTACACATCTTACTATGTGATCACCACACTAAGACTAATAATCATTTGAGCAAAGTTAGTATACTTTTCTAAATTATATTGTAGAAGCAGAAAACATACATTGTAGTGGAAATGATTAGATGTTCACCTAGAAAGATTCCTGTTCCTTTTCCTCTGTGTAATTCTTACTGGGAAGGGATTTCTCATACAGGGACTTCATTTTCTCCTGGTAGGATCATAAGAGTAGTTCTTACCAATGGAAGATATGAGTCACTGCCCAGTACAGGTAGTG